CTTTTCGGGTCCCTATTACAATACGGCACCTAATATTTAGGGTACCCAAAAACGGACCATAATTTCGACAACTACCCATGTATGTATATGCCGTACAGCTAAACGGTTCAGGGTCTATTGCTCTTGCGGCAATCTTATTCTTTGCATAGTAACAGGGGGTTATCGTAGAAGCCAGAAAGTTGGAACATCATTCTCCGCATGGCCTAAATGTAGAGTGTAAGGGATCCTAGCACTAATCCTCCTAAAGCCATTTTCCAACTTAGTGGCTTCTACTATAGCGTTTCTATGGCCTCCTGGGGTTACATACTCAGCGACACAGTGGAACTCCCAGGTTCGACTGTTTGTCCCCATGACCCCTAAGCTTTGAACCCTAAGCCCTAGAAACCCCGACCTACACCCCCAAAAGTAGGCAAAAACACTGGCCCAGAACCTATAAAATTATATACTTTTGGGGTCCCAGGTAAGTCCTGAAACCTCAACCCTAAACCTTGAACTCCCCTACTTGGAGGGTCGGGGGACATATTAAGTAGTTACTTTGTACAGTTATAAGTACCACAACCCCAATTAGGATCCCTTTTAGGGTACTTATAAGTCTACTTACTACCCACTTACTAAGTCCCCCGACCCTCCTTATAGAACCCTTGTAGACCCCTTTAAAGGAGCCCTTTATAGAACCCTATAGATCCCCTTAAGGGTACTAAGTCCCTCGACCCTGAAAGTAAGCCCTAAAACCTCAACCCTAGAGACGAGAGCCTCTCTGCGTTGCCGGAGAGACGTCGATGCCAAGCGAAAGACCGGGTTAGAGGTTTTGCCTTTAGAGCGTTTCGCTGTAGAGTTTAGGGGGTTCAGGGCTTAGGGCTTAAAGGCTTAGGGCCAGATTATGGTCATTTTCCTCTAAGATATCGCAAGTGTTGCAGGGAACTGGATTTCAGACAGAGGTTTCCCACATCTACTGCAGGGCTAGGGGGAGTCTTGCAAAGGCAGCCCCAAACTTTACACCATAAGTGAACCAGCTTTTGACTCAGGCGGACTGTAGTTCATGCCAGTGGCATTGGGCTTGGCGTTTAGCAGCTTATGCAAGGAATGTAGCGGCTAGGTAAATCAAGTGCATAAAATGTACACACGTAGTTATCGCTGGGTTTTACATGTGCTGTATTGTCATGAGCCATATAAATCCGTTAACGTTTTTGGGTAAACTGCTTGGGGCTTTGGGCAGTGGCCCAGGTCGGGCCGGGATATGTAGGATCGCGCTTGAAGCGGAGGGGTTCGCTAGCGGAGTTGCTCGAGCCGGCGCGTGCGCGAATCGAAAAGCATGGCTCCGCATACAACAGCCGCTTCCAGGGCTTGGAAACCCTAAACCCAAAACCCTGAAACCCTTTAAACCCTAAACCGTAAACCCTAAAACCCTAAACCCTAAACCCTGAAACCCTTTAAACCCTAAACCGTAAACCCTAAAACCCTAAACCCTAAACCTGGGCCCCGAAGCAACGTTGCACCCCAGCCCGTTTCGGCCTTAAGGTTTAGCGGGCGAGCGCTGCATCATTGCATCCGTGAGTTATGGAAGGACCTCTGACTCCATCCTCTTTTCAAACGTGGGTTTAGGGTTTTAGGGTTTAGGGTTTAGGGTTTAGGGTTTAGGGTTTAGGGATTGCCGTGGAAGAGTGATCCCAACCCCCAATTCCGAAACCGACAGTCAAATTCAATCGCAAAAAGTCGCAAAAGCCTTATTCGTTCAAACTGAGCAGGAATTCTGTGGGTACGGTTCTTGATATCCATACAGGAACCCTAACAAATACCACTGGAATAAATTTCTGAAGCGCCTAGATGAAGCACGAAAACCCTAAATCCAAAAACCCCGCGACCAACACTGCAAACCCCACCCAAACCCTAAACCTCCTAGACCCTGGCTCTAAGTAACCCTTTGGCTCTGAGTGCAGATAGCTCGCCTGCGCTCCTTGCTTTCGGCTGCGACCCTACTGCAGCTCTTACCACGGAGAGCCTCAGCCGCTTGAAACAGCCAACAGAAAGCTGCCGGCTACTTCTTGGGTACTGTCTGAAACCAAACTAAAAAACCCTAAATCCTAAACCCCTCGACTCCAACCTTGAAACCTTGAATCCTAGAACCCTAAACTCCATCCAACCTCCATAACCCAATGCCTCCAAGTGACCTTATAATTAGGGGGCTAGACTCCCCAAGGACCCAACAATAAGGTCCGCGGAAGCCTAGGGTAAGACACCCCCCGAAAAGGCCCCAAATCCGAAACTCTAAACCCTAAACCCCAAAACCCTAAAACCGTAAAACCCTAAACCCCCAAAACCCTAAACCCCCCAAACCCTAAACCCCTAAAGACACCCCCCCAAAAAGGCCCCCACTTTTCTCCCTCCCTCGAAGGACTGCCGCGGCGGGCCCCTGCGGGAGCTTCGGTGAGACCTCGGAGCCTTCTGCTGGCCCTCCCCGGGCTCCGCTTTAGTGTTGTTTAGGGTTTAGGGGTTTAGGGTAGTGTTGTAGAGTGGTTCCTTTAAGGGTTCCTTTGATTAAGGGATCTTATCATAGGAGTTCCTTTAAGGTGTTCTTTTGTCTGGGGGTTTTGGGGTTTTTGGGTTTAGGGTTTTAGGGTTTTAGGGTGTAGGGTTTAGAGGTCATGGTTTCGACAAAGGTTTGAGAACTTTTTGGGTGGAGTTTGGTTGCGACAGCCAGTTTCTAGGGCTCCATAGGGTTTCCAAGACGATTCAGCGCTCTTGAGGTTCTATAATGCTTACTATAAGGGCTTGAGTGGAGTCGTGGAGTGCTTGTTGGACTCAAATCTGAAAGAGGCAATGGAATTCAAGTTTAGGGCTTTTGTATTGGGAGAATCAGGTCAAACATAATTTAAGGTTTAGGGTTCAGGGTTTCGGGTCAATGAGTGGTCAAGCATGCTTTAGGTGACTGACTTTCAAGCAGAAGTTCTTCTAGACCCAAGAGTAACCTAGGAATAAAAAGGGTGCCCTTTTCGGTTTAAAGGGGGTTATAATGGAACCTAAACCCTAAAAAAGGGAATAAGGGCCTACTCCGGGTCCTAGTTTTAGTGGCGCGAGAAGGGTGGCACCAGCCCTGAGGCATGTCCCGACTTTGTCAGAGACCTGTCGGCGGCACCAGCTCCTACATGATGTCCCTAGTCCCTACCTAAACCTATAGAGCCGAAGCTCTGCATGGATGATGCTCTACGTGTGATAAACTCATGCAGTCGCACGAGACTTTTCGCAATGTCCCAACTATTATTTCGGATAACTCACCGAATGTCAGCCAAACGTGCGAAAATAACCTTGAAACATTGTCGTGATGCTCCTCGCAGCTAGCGCGAAGGCTGCTGATATCGTTAATATGCTTCGCTGTTCGAAACTAACCTCCTGAGGTGTGCTCGGACTGGGTGAAACGGCAGCATTGAAGGTGTGCAGGCTCATATACAGAGGCCTCCACGAACAGGGGGGGGATAGGCTACGGTCTGGGGGTGCATATTCTGTTTAAGGGATGATATGAGGAAGCTCCTACTGATTTGCTTTCCCTTGCTGTTGAGAGCTGCGCATGACAGCAAAGTCTTTCAATGTAGAAGCCTAGATGTTTATCATCTAATACTCTTCCGAAGGGCTCCTCCTCACAACTATGCTGTAATAAAACCAAGATGCAAGTCAATTTTAAATCCCCAAGTCGTATTTCGTATGTAATACTCTGCCTTGAGGTTCCTCATTCTGGGCCAAGACGCCCCGAAGACTTACTGTTGGAGTTCAGGGTTAAGGCTCCATGTGCCCTTACTTGAGGGTGCCGGGTGGGTCCTTAACTTACCGCGAGGCGAAAGCTCTGCAGCCACCTCCGAATGCCATAAGAGTAGCATGCAGTTGGAACCAAATTAGATCCGAGAACCTGGAGCGAGGAGGGGATGTTGGGTGTAGGAGTTTAGGGGCTTATGGTTTCGATGTTCAGGATTTTGTGCTTTACCTATAGTTTCCATTGTAGTTCCTTTTTGGTGTTCTATTATAGGATCCTAACCATAAAATTGGTTAGCCAAAAAAAGGAACTCCAATGGAGACTATAGGTAGGGCTGCAGGAATCTGCCACTGAGGGTACTGGCTTGGCTTGCTTTGGCTTGACTTCTACGGGGGTTGAAGGCTCGGGCCCTCAACAATAAATTGTAAAATAGGGTTTAGGGTTTAGGGTTGACTCCTACTTGTCGAGTATCATGGGGAACTGAGGGTTAACCTTTTTGGTTATATATAGGGACTATAAATAGGGGCTATACTACCCCAACAAGGTTAAAGGTTACCTACTCTACTACTAGGAACTTGTATCATTGGACCCTTAACAGGAACTCTAAACCTTAAAGCCTAGACCGAATCTTGAAGTATACTACCTTCTGCTCGGGCCCTGCGCGAGGACAATTGGGTACACTAACATAACCTGGGTGGTTGTCGAAATTATGGTCCATTTTGGGTCCTTATAATATGGCACTTAATACTTAGGGTACCCCAAAAGGGGACCATAATTTTGACAACCACCGACCTGAACTGCATGCGAAGCCCCTGACACAAGGAATAGGCATTTCGGGCCCATTATACTAAATCTATAATGAGGAACGCCACAAGAGTATTGGTAATTATTTAAGCCCCTATGGCAAAACACCATCGGCCTGAATGCCCCCCTGGTTCCGAACTGATGAGGCGACGGTCTGCCTGTGAGTTTCGCTATGAAGAGATCCTAAAATCGAGGCCTACCTCACTGATTATAAGGTCCTCGAAAAAGTGCACCAACCAACTTGAAGAGACCCCACATCATACCCTTATCCCAAAACCCCATGCAACCGCACGAAACACCACTGATGTCCCTCTGCAACCCTAACATAGAACTCTCGAGGATCCTAAACCCTTCTGCAGCCCGATAAAACCGTATGAACTCCTATGAGACCTTTTCAGAATCCTTCTAAAGCCATAACTTGGGCCCCTCTAAAAGCCCCTCCTGGCCTCCCCCATCACTTCCCCTTTCCCTTCTTGCCGCCCTTCTTCGGATTTGCGGCCTCAAGTCTGGATTAGGGTTTTGAGCTTTTAGGGTTTAGGGGCTTTTAGGGTTTAGGGTTTAGGGGTTTAGGGGTTTAGGCTTTAGGGGTTTAGGGTTTTGGGCTGGAGGGCTTACAAAAGACGGGCTCAAAATCAACTAACGAGGGTTTTTGGTGGGATGTGGGGTGGGTTTGTCTGCAGGGCTTGCAGGGGCTTGATAGGGGCTTGATTGGGGTGGTGAATTCATACGTGGGCCTTGAGACGTAGAATAGGCGTTTGGGTCTATAGTGTGCCTTTGTCTTGTGATGTCATGTCGGGGCTAGAAAGGAATATGAAGGGATATCATGTGGCTTAAGTCTGGACTTCAAGGGTGGACTCGCACGATGTCAGGGTCATCGCGGACTTCTGAGACTTGACACCCTAAACCCTAAACCCTAAACCCTAAACCCTACTAAATCCTAAACTTTAAACACGAAATCCTAGCCGGTCCTGGCTTCCAACCCTGAATGAAGGGTACGGTTGATGATATAAATCCTAGGACTCCTTTAAAGGGATCTATAAAGGGTACCTTTAAGGGGTTCCTTTAAGGGATGTACAGGGTTTTTGGGTTTTAGGGTTGATGATATAAATCCTGCATTACCCATAATAAGGAATATACCATAATTCCCATAGTTTAGGGTCCTTAAGGTAATGAAGGATTTACATCATCAACCGAAGTTTGCGAAGCTTCTTAAGCGAAATCGGAACTGTGGTCCGAGGCGAGAACTGCTCGCCCGGATTCCTGGCCCCAGAACAACTAACTGCTTGTCTACCATTTGCTTAAGAACACCCAAAAAATAAAAAATAAAAAATATTCCTTATGGGGATAGTATAGGGATTATTATTTTTTATTTTTTGGGTGGTTTCTTCAGCAAATAGTAGTTGTTTTGGTGCTTACCTAAACACCACAAAGTAGGTAAAATAATAGCCCGGGGGTCCAGGTACCCACTCATCCATGAAGACATTACGTGAAAACTCCAAAACCCTCAACTAAACCCCTGAGACCCTAAACCCCAAACTAAACCTCTGAACTCCTAAATTAAACCCCTGAGCCCCCGAAACCCCAAAATAAACCCCTGAGCCCCTAAATTAAACCCCTGAGCCCCTAAACCAGTGAATCCCCTGAGCCCCTAAATTCCCTGAGCCCCTATAAACCCTTGAAACCTTAAATTCAACCCTTGAAACACCAGACCAGAGCATCTCCGGATCAAGCCTCGGGAGGGGCGTTCTTCGCCTCTTCCCGAGCCTGCCCCAACACGGTTCATGGTTTAGGGTTAAGGGGTTAGGGGTTTAGGCTTTAGGGGTTTAGGTTTTAGGGGTTTAGGGGTTTAGGTTTTAGGGGTTTAGGGGTTTAGGTTTTAGGGGTTTAGGGGTTTATGGTTTAGGGTTTAGGGTTTTGGGTTCCTTAACCCTACCTTAACCCTGAAGAACCTGCCTGTTTAAGGCTCCTTAGTATGATTTCCTTCTATAAGTCCTTAAAAAGGTAGGTTATTCCGGGTTAAGGTAAACCCTAAACCCCAACACCGGTACTTGGAGGATCATGGGACTTAGTAAATAAGGTTATAAGTACCTTAATTGGGCTTATAAGTATCGTTACCCTAATTATAGCCCTAGTTACTAAGTCGCATGATCCTTGAAGTAGCTTTGGGGCTTCAGACTTCAAGGCGCTAGTATAGGGGCTTTAATAATTAGAGTAGGGCGCCTTTTAAAGGACCTATAAGGGTTACGATAAGGGATATATCATCAGGGTACTATGATATTATAGGGGCCTTAATAAATAGAATAGGGCTTCGGGGTATATCTTATACTATACTTACAACAAGGAACCCTCCCAAAACAGTATAGGTAACTGTCAAGGCCCCTATAGTATCCTTTTCGGATATCTGGGTCTTGTAGCAGAATTGCATCAGATTCTGTTTTCTGTTCTAGAAAACCTAGAGATTCTAGAGTCTTGCGCTAGCCGCACCACCCCAACAGACGAGCCGTAGCAACTCGCAATATCTTTTGTCTCATCCTGAACCCCACTAGACTATACATGCGACGGTTGAAGCTCCATGTTCAAGCGCTGCAGTCCCTTCCCCCACAGAGGCAGACGACGAACGGTCAAACAAAAGTCCAATACAACTATAAAGCTAGACCAACAAGACTTGTTCAAAATTCGCGCTGGGAGTGTGTTAAGTTCCCGCAGCAGCTCCGAATCCTATCGAGCCTCGAGTCGGAATATTGAAACTTCAGACCTTAGCCGCCCTCTGCCACCCTGAAAACCCTAGACGCAGCCCTAGAAACCTGTATCCTCCAACGCCAGAAAATTCCGCAAATCCTAAACCCCAGTTGATTAAAGCCTTTGTGCAAACTGTAATAGAGCCCTTTTTGGAGCAACAACTCGCCTTTCCACATGATTTCTCCAAACTCCGAAGTGCTGTTGCCAGCACATTTCTCAAGTGACATGATGAAGGTTTGGGGTTTAGGGGTTTAGGGGTCCAGCGTTTAGGGGCACTTGAAAATTGAGCTTCTTGCCGGTCTTGCAGATATCCCCCTCTCCTTGAAGAAGGCTTAAGCCGCTCCATCATGTTTTTCCTCTCCAACTAGGAGACATTGGCCTGGGAATTACGAAACATGTCTTGCTGGCTGGTAAACTTTGGTGAACGACCGAACAAATACCACTGTTCCGCAATATCAGCAGGACATCCACCGGTGAGTTCTTCGTGCTTGGCGTCGATAAGCGCATCGAGTGTCGCTGGCCGGCTGCGACCCATTTTGGAACGAGCTCTTGTGGCAGCGCCACAAACCCTTTGGGGTTCTTGACTTTCAATTAACTGACCTTTTGTGTGCGTCCCTGCTTTTTCGCAGTCCGCAACAACGGGTTGTCATCGAAAAAAATCTTGACCCTAAATCCTTAACCCTACACCCTCAATCCCAAACCCTAAACCCTAAAGGGGATTGAATCACTAAGCCCTAAACCCGGAACCCTAAACCCTTGGTTGATCATCACGAAACTAAGAGGTCGGCTTGAAGTTGAAACAACCTGTGCACTTCCTGATGTGCTCCTTGGGCTGGGTTTAGGAGATGTTTGGTTTTGGGTTTTAGGGTTTAGGGCTTAGGCTTGGGCTTGTTGGGAACTCTTAGATAACACAAAAGCCACTTTGATGCAGAAGCCTGCCAAAAACGAAGACTATGCGGTTCCCTGACATCAGTACGGCATAATGGCCCAACACCTTAGTGTAATTCTCAAGTCTTAATTAAGGTCCCTAGATCGTAGAACCCTTATAGTGCCCCTTCTAGTAACACTGAAATAGACCCCCTACTTCAAATTTCTGAACCTCATAAAGGAACCCGGAACCCCATTGTTAATGATTCAGGCCTAATTGTAAACCCTTAACCCTGAGCCTGATGATTGTCCTAATGCCTCAGGCCCCCCATATTACACAAACCCTAGTGTCCTAAGGCCCGTTTTATTTCTATTATATACACTTCCCCTAGTGCGTTAAGGCCCGCTTTAATGCACAACCTCTGTAGTAACTGTTATATCAACCCTCTTTTCGGGACCCGCTGCAGTAACCAGAGTTTGATTATTGAGGCCCTTCTTGCGACCCTTTCTTGCAAACCCCATGCCCTAAACTCTTCTCTAATGACTTAGGCCCCTTACAGTCAAGCTCCGTAAACCCCCAAACACCCCTAGAGCGTAATTGAAGCCTAAACACCTAAAAACCCTAAACCTAAACCCTAAACCCCTAAACTCCGTAAACCGTAAACACCTAAAAACCCTAAACACCTAAACCCATCGACCTTCTCCCCAGACATCAGGTTGTGGGGGCTCCTTACTATAATTATGGTAGAATATGACCCCAAACCCCATTCGAATTATTCAGGCCCCTATATCGAATCATAGTACCCTTATGGTATCCCTTATAGTGATCCTTATAGATCCCTTAGAAGGAACCCGATTCTAATTATTCAGGCCCCTATATGGGAGTTTCCGAAAATAGGGGATTCGGATCCTAAATAGTAGGATCCTTTTTATAAGGACCCCAGAATAAGGTACCCATCATTTTCGGAAACTCCCCTATAGCTATCTTGTATATACTTAAGCTTAGAGGGTTGCCACATGTTCATTTGAGGTCCGCAGCACCCCAAAAAAGCGCCCCTAATTTTGACAACCACCCATATTAAACCCGGGGACCTTCTCCCCAGTTATCAGGTGGTCGAACTCACGGAGCTGATCGAGCTCTTCCTTCCTGCAGAAGAAGGCTTCGCGGGTTCCTTGTCTTGGAAGCCTTCTAGGGGTCAGAGGTTTAGAGTTTTTTTTGAGGGCTCTTTCCGAACTGGTTATCAGCAAGAGTTTCTTACCAGGCTTTAGAGGTTTAGAGGTTTAGGGTTTAGAGTTTAGGACCTAGGGTTCGGAGGCCTCAAAAGGTGGGATGAAGCTAGATTAAGGATCCCTTGTACAAGGACTCTTTTTTGGGGATTCTTTGATTTTAGGGTCCCTTCTGGTGTTCCGTTTAGGGCTCCTTTAAAGGTTGCCATAAGGATTGCTAGAAGGGTTACTATAAGGAGTTTAGGGTCTTGAGGCTTAGGGCTTTACCGCTTTCTTTCGCCTTTTCGCAGTTCGAGACGGGGTTTAATATTATAAATAAATCCCAAAGCCTACTCTACTTATCAAGGCCTCCCTTAACCCAAATAACCTACCTTTTTAAGGACTGATCAAAAGAACTCGTATTAGGAAGCCCAAGAAAGGTGGGTTAGTCGGGGTCCAGGTCTGCATTGAAGCCCAAAATCCTCTCCAAACGGACGGTGTAGGGTTTATGAGCGGAGGAGCGCGCGAGCGTCGGTCGTCAGGGGGTTTGGGTCCCTTCCGGACTTTAAGATCACAGCAAGGTTTAGGGTTTAGGGGTTTAGGGTTTGGGGGTTTAGGGTTCAGAGTTTAGTTTAGGGGTTAGGGGTTGAGGGGTTAAGGGTTGAGGGGGATAGAACTCCTCAAAATTTCACCAATATGTGGTCAGGCGTCTGGCGTTCCCGCCCCCCCCCCCACAGTGGTATGGTCTGATAGGGGTGGGGGCGGGGGCTGGCGTGTGCGGAAAGTTGGAGCTGCCAACGGATGGTGGGGTGGTGCTGGCGGCCAGGGCTCACACGCAAGCCCTTCGCAAGCAAGCCACAAACCCTATAACGCAGCGCGTGCCCCTGTTTTGAGCAACCTTAATTTGTACTTAAAAACCTACACCCAACCGAACCCTAAACCCAACCCAACTGCAGGCTCTACGCCTAAAGCAGAGCATACACCCCAAATCCTCCCTAAGCCCTTGTCGACTCGAAGCCTCATACTTGTAACCGTAAACCCAAAAGTCAAAAGCTTAAGCTAAACCCTAAAACCCTAAACCCCAAAACCCCACAACCATCCCACAGGGGAAGAGGGGGCCCCACCCTATATCCGGATCATTGACCTTTGGGGGGGGTTGGGTACGAGGGGTAGGGGGGGGGGGGGGGCGCGGAGCCCGTGACCATATAAGCAGTAGCCCTGTATGTGCTCACCGAAAGCACAAGATTCACCCTAAATGGAATCAACGATCGTACCACACATCTACATCTGCAAGCTGACATCGGTCCCAAGCCCCTTCAGCCCGTTAAACCCCGTAGCCACAAATCCTGATCCAATTACCCCGAAGCCCTAAGCATCCCAGCGATCCCTACTTAATCAAAGGGGTCCATGCACTCATCTAGCATTGCATGTGCTGTGGACCTCAAGTAAAGTATGGCGACCCTCTAAGCATCAATATATACTAGATAGCTAGGCCTCTGAGAGTATGACCCCGAACCACCCAAACCCGAGAGCAAAAGTCAGCCAGGGTCCAGCAGAAAGCCGTCCGAGACAGAGGGCCAATGAACTCTTGAACCTGCAGGGCATAAAGTCGAAAGGTCGAGGGTTTACTATGTAGGAGCCCTAATTTTTTAGAATAAGGTTTCGGGGTGTAACATACTACGATTACACAGTCGCCACAAGGGAGGTTACTACTGTTCTTCAAACTCGCATATTAAGGACGTTTAAGAGCCGAGCAATTGTAATGCCATCGTTATAGGGCCTGGTTTGGGCTTCATAGAGGTTCTACCCGAGGAAATGGCGGAGTGGATCCCTTTAGTAATTTAGTAGCCCCTACATAATCCGCAATAGTAGTCTTCCGAAACCAATCCCCTATTCAACCCTAAACCCTAAACCCTAAACCCCTAAACCCTAAACCCTAAACCTACTAAGAACCAGACAAGCTAAGTTTCCGGCGGACTATACTCCGAAGACGCCTGATTTCAATGAACGCCCCTGCTCCTTCACGAGGATCACCCATACTTAAAGGATCCTGGGACTTAGTAACTATAGGGTTATAATTAGGGTAACTATACTTATAACCCCAATTAAGGCACTTATAACCTTATTTACTAAGTCCCATGATCCTCCAAGTAGTGTACATACTTTCGCCCTTAAGTGCGTACATAGGGAGTACTCATAAGGCCAAAGTATATATCAAAACCCTAAACCCTTAACCCTAAAACCCTTAACCGTGGACGCTTTTGGGAAGGGTTACAATGGCGAGGATCTGAAAGGGCTGTTACGTAAAGCGGGAGTATCCAAGCATCAAGCCAGGGCCTTCAAACCCCAAGCCCAAAACCTTAAGCCCTAAACTCTGAAACTCTAACCCTAAACGTAAAAATCCTAAACCTGAAGCCCTGTACCTAAAACCCTTAAACCGTAAAGCGTTGGACCCTAAACCCTTCTTTAAACCCCAAGACCCTGAACCCTCTTTTGCTGAAAGAAGACGCCCAATCCCCACCCCAAGCCACCCAAAACCTAAACCCTAAACCCTAAACCCAAAACCCTACAAACCCCAAACCCTACAAACCCTAACCCTAAAATCCTAACCTAAACCTTCGGACCCTGTTTTTAAAACCTGCTGAGACCTGAACCCTCTGTTGCTTAAGAAGGAAGCCTACTCCCAACCCCAAGCCACCAAAAACCCTAAAACCTAAACCCTAAAGCCTCAACCCCCAAAACCCTAAAACCTAAACCCTAAAGCCTCAACACCAAAACCCTAAAACCTAAACCCTAAAGCCTCAATCCCAAAAACCTAGACCCTCAAGCCTCAACCCCCCAAAACCAACCCGCCTTGAGCGGCCGGTTCTTCAGCTGCTGCACCCGTCGCGCCGTCAGCACACGGTCGACCTGTGCGTTCCAGGAGTTCCTCAAGGGTTCTTTTCGGGGTTCCAACAGTTTAGGGTTTAGGGTTTAGGGTCCGTTAAATTAATTGCATGTCGGGGTTCCGCTAAAGGTTCTGCCAAGGTCTCTGTCAGGCTTCTGCTCCGGTTCCTGTCAGGTCTTTTGGGGGTTCTGTAATGGTCCGTGCACCCGTAAAGTCGGGGATATGTAAATGCACATATATACACATGTGCATATACATACATAATACATATAATATATATATATATATATATATATATATATACATATATATATATATACATATGTTATATAGGCATGCCCACAGACTGTTTGAGCTTTCGGTGTTGGAGGGTTGGGGTCGGAGGGGGTGGGGGTTGTGGGTATGGGTGTGGGATGCTGGGTCGGAGATTAAACGTTTCGGGTTAGCCGGAAAGTCTTCTGAATTCAGGTTAGGGCTCGTGTGGGATCTGTGCCGTACGTGTTACGAGCTAGTTTTCGGGGTTGTCCAAGTCCTATTGCTTGATACAGGATCAATGCCCAAAGATCGCGGGGCCGAACCCAAGCTATATCCCGGACGCATGTGCGAAACTGTTGTTTACAATTGGTGCGGGCGTTGACAAAGCATGACCGCTATATCCATCTCTGTAACTTCTGTCATTCTGACACAGCAGTGCTAGTGCTGCCGGCATATCGAAATTTTACCATACTGCATGCACAGAGAGAGAAGGAGAGATGCCTTCATATATGTCTGTATCTATATTATATGTGTTTGTACATGTATTTGTGCATGAACACGTCCACGAATCAACCATTCGTTGCTTGGATCTTCGAGATGGTCATTTGTAGCCTTGCTTCGTGTGAACTCGGACTTGCTGAATCAACAGTTCCACCTTGTGCTCGATGCAATGAACAATCACCATATTCTCCGAAGCCTTTCACCCGAGACCCTGAATCTTACCTTTGGTTAGTAGGGAATGGAGGGATGAGATACAATTATAACTACTACGGTTGATAATATAAATCCTGCACGACCTTAAGGACCCTAAACTATGGGAATTATGGTATGTTCCTTATTATGGGTAATGCAGGATTTATATCATCAACCGTATTACTACCATTCTTCCACCCGTACTAACCAAAGGTCAGGAATTGCGAGCGCTGCGAGAAACCTGCAACTCAGCTTCTTGCTACACGCAGCCCTAAGCTGCCGGCCGTTTGCTTGATGGAGCCTGCTGGATAGCCCTCGCTGACCTGGTTCGGGGTTTAGGGGCTAAAGGCTTTAGGGGCTTAAGGGTTTAGGGTTTTTGGGGTTTAGGCTTCGGTCCAAGCATACGGACGGTTCAGGGATTTGGGGTGCGGAAAGGTGTATAAAACAGACACATGCGCAGCACATGCACACGAACAAACATACAGCAACACACACAAACACACACCTACACCTATCCATACAGCTACGATGCTCATGCACATGGAGAAAGGCAGGAATGCGCACATGCATGCGTGCATACATATAAAATATGCATACATACATGATACAGATACACACATAAGTATGTGAATGCTCTAACATGAAATACTTGCATGGTGCCAGCATGCGGACATGTGAAATTCAGGAATTACTCAACCACCCTTCCCGAGCTCTCATCCCCGGGGCTTTTCCCCACTCTGCGCCATTAACAAGCACCCTCAACCCTGAACCAAGAGTTTCAACTGCAAGTCCTGAACTTGCAACCTAGGTAATTATTTAGACCCCTTTTCTGGATCCTTATAATAGCCCTTCTAGGCCCCTTTAAAGGAACCGGTTATTAAGGCCCCTATAGTACAGAAATCTCCCCTCCGTAGCCCCGGCTCTCGCTAATGTGGAGATGTTCAGCTTGGCCGGATCCACCGTGACGCCGTGCTCCTGCGATGAAAGGGCGAAAGGGTTTAGGGTTTAGGTTTTTAGGGTTTAGGGCTTTGGGGTTTGGGGGAATGGGTTATTGGGACTACTGTAGGGGACCAAAAAGGACTATCCCCCATTCCCTAGTAGGAAAGGGACCCGTAATGGGGATCCCTACCCAAAGCGTATAATGGGTATATAACAGCCATATCAGAGGGTTTCAGGGAGCGTTTAGGGCTAAGGGTTTCTTTGGGCGCTGCAGGCCTCTAGTGCGTCAGAAACCCCAAACCAAGGAAAGAACTAAGCGCCCAACCAAAAACCCAAAGCCCTGAAACCCTCAACCCCAAACCCAAGCCCTGAACCCTCAAACCTAAAGCCTAAACTTTAGGGCTGTGCGGTATACAGGTCAGTTCTTGAGGAATCTTGGATCTGCAATGAACTATCCAAACCTACCTGTCTCGTGGGATCTTGCTTTTCTTCTACATATTGCTTGCCGCGAAATTGTATTCCTCTTGCCTTGCTTCTGCCCCATCATCTGGCCCAAGTCGTAAACACAAACCGGTGAGCTTGTGTGTCCAGACCTGACACGAACTGTTGAGACCTGAATCACAGAGCCGCATGCAACCTCGAGCGGGCCAAACCCAACGACCCAAAACTCCCTCGATATGGGAGCCCCGAATACGGAGTTTTAAGTTACCTGAACTCCCTTAAAACAGTGTTTTACAGTGGAAGGCTACGAGGAAGCCGAGACAGGGGGCGGACCTCCATGAACTGTTGCCAGAGGACCACACGGCTGCCATACTCCGGGAAGCTAACCCAGACCTGCAGGCTTTTGGTCCGCGGTTTGGGGTTTAGGGCTCAGGGGGAGGCTTTTGGTCGGCGGTTTGGGGGCTGCGACACTGTACGGCTTCATTGAGGGTTTCGGGCTATACGGGTTTAATGCTTGAGAGTGTTGCGGACCTGTGATCCAACGAATGACCTTAGGCACTGACAAAGGCCCACATGGACTTAGAATTTCAGCCTAGAGCCGTACTAAGGGGCGGTTCTCGAATTTAGGGGTCACGGTCTCCGTAGTCCAAAACACGCCTCCTACACTAGGATAAAGGGTCCGTGCCCCACAATATTGGCAAACTCCCCACCGCAATCCGCGATTCCATTCCTCCTAGTTACTTCATGGCTGGGATAGGATTATACATGTACATTTTTATTCCTTATTGGGTTGAAGTATCCATAAAATTTACAAGGTTACCCAACTATGGCAAAGATTCTATTCCCTGCAAGCAGTACCCCAATCTAAAAGCCAAAGCCAATCTAGCCAGAGCTACCCTAAGCTACTACCTTGGTAGCGACTCATTCGTGAAGCTTCCTCGAATTTATGGGGACCCTCCAGGGAAAATAGCAAAGCTGACAAGTGAAATTAGCCTCTGTCATATCGGCACTAGATATGAAGTCTAAACCCTTAAATACCAAAAATCCAAAACCCTAAAAGACCCAAAGCCCAAAAGCCCTAGACCCAAAACCCTAAAAAACCCAAAGCCCAAAAGCCCTAGACCCAAAACCCTAAAATCCTAAAGCCCAAAAGCACAAAATCCAAAACCCTAGACTTCTAAAGCCCACCAAAGCCTCGACCCGAAATTCCCTTAAGACCCCTGAAACCCTAAACTTCGTAAACCCCCGAAGCTCAAGACCCCAAACCCAAGACCCCACAAACCCTAACCCCAAACCCCTAGAGCCACGGTTTAGGGTTTAGGGTTTAGGGTTTAGGGAGCAAAGCCCTATACTCTAAACCCCTGAAGACCCTAAACCCCAAAGCCCTAAACCCTCAACCCCTAAACCCCTGAAGCCCTAATCCCCTAAAGCCCTAAATCCTCAGCCAACAGGGAGTATCCTACATAGCAGGAGCCTTATAATAAGGACCCCCAAAATCAGGTAGCCCTATTTTCGGAAACTTCCAAATACCCTAAACCCTAAACCCTACACCCTGAACCCAAAACCCTAAACCCCAAAGCCCTAAACCCCGAAGCCCTAATCCCCTGAAGCCCTAAACCCTCAGCCACAAATTTTGCTGGAAGAATACTATTATAGATCCCTTTGAACGAACCCCTATAAATCCCTGTAAAAGAACCCTAAAACCCGAACCCTAAACCCTGAACCCTGAACTCAAACCCTGAACCCCAAACCCCAAAGCCCTAAATCCCTGTAAAGGAACTTAAACCCCCCCCAAAACAAAACAAAAAAAAAAAAGTCCGGCGGCCTTCTCATCGAAGGAGTCTTTGAGCCCTGCGACATCGACACCCTCGGCGAAGGGCCTGCAGCAACCAGGGCTGTGGATTTAGGATTTGGGATTTAGGATTAGGCTCATAGGGTTTAGGATTTGGGGTTCAGGATAAAGGATTTGGGTGGTTGTCAAAATTAGGGTCCTTTTTGGGGTTCCAAAATAATACGGCACCATTTTGGGATCCTATTCTTAAGATTCTGGTTAAAGGAACTACAGTGGAGACTATAGGTAGAATCCTGACTAACAATTCAATAATTCCGCTTTCTTTACAGGCCCTATGCCGCATTCACAGTATGATTCTTACTACGGGAGAGCGGCTTATCAATCAGGGCCGAGTGCATTGCTTCAAAGATCCGAAGCTGTGATGGCGGTGTACAGATTGAGCTTGGAGGGCTTATGGATCAGAGAGTTAAGGGTTCTTTCCATCTAAGTTGAGAAGATCGAAGTGTCGATGTATGAACTCAATATAGCGATTTTCTACCCATTATATAGCCCATTATAGCGTACGGGTCCCCATTAAGGGTCCCTCCTTTTAGCCGGCTTCTACAACTCCAGCTGAAGGAGCTTGCAGAGCTATGTGGTCGAGCAAGTTGCGCTTCAAGAAGACATGCCCTAAGCTTTTGAGCCCAAAGAGTCTCAGTACCTAAGCAATATACATATATATATATATATATATATATATATATATATATATACATACTGTGTTCGATTCTATCCTAAACCAGTTAGCTTAAACAAGTGCCCATGTAGCAACCTCTTTAACGGCACCAAACCCACTGCGGGACGGTGAACCTCTCCGAGAGCTGGCTGAGGAAAGGACCAGGGTTGAGCTAATCAGGGATATTTCTAATGATATGGATACCAAAGAAAAAATCTACGTCGAATTAACTGTTCATGCGTAGATGACAAGATCTACTACGCCCTTGATCACACAGCCAACTCCTGCAGCTCTTGGACGTCTTTTGCCGCGGTGCGCGAACAACTTCCGGTCTCTGTGAGAGATGATCCGCAACTTCAAGACTCGCCGCCTGTGCCTGCGGCTCGAAGATGGAAGTGCGGTCGTCCATGCTTTTAGCTTAGTGGCTCAAGCCTCGACTAGAGAGTTGAAACTGCCCATCTCACTGGCCCTGCTGGCAGGCCTTCAGCGCATCCATGAAGGACTGGCAAGATGCAGCGTTGCTGGAGGACTTCATGCACTGCTCAAGCTGGTCCTGCTGGAACTGGCACGTAGGAGAAGCGGCAGCAACAGGAGCACCCTCATGACGGTGAACCACCTCTGTCTGGCGCGGGCCCATCACTGCATCCACAGCACGGTTTGCCACAGCCATACCCGTGCCCGTTGCCATGCCAGACATCATGGAGCCCATGAGGCCCGACATCATGCCACCGCCAGCTGCGGGAGCAGCTGCCGGAGCAGCCGCTGCAGGTGCTGGGGCTGGAGCATGCTGCGCAGGAGGAGGTGCCTGCGTAGCAGCTGGCGCTGGGGCCGCGCGACCATGGGACGGTGCCGGCGCGGCTCGCTGCGGTGCGCTCGTGGAGGGACGGCTGCTCTGGCGCGGCATGGCTGTGTCACGTGGCACAAGAACGGACACCTAGAAAATCTGCTTGAGCAGAGCAAGCTGGCGAGGATTTTCAACACATTAGACTTAGACATGCCTCCCTCATACCCGAATCTCGGCCGCTTGATTAGGTACATGATGCTGTCCCGAGCCATGAACATGTATGTATGTATGTATGTATGTATGTATGTATGTATACATATATATATATATATATATACATATACATATACATATACATATACATATACATATACATATACATATACATATACATATACATATACATATACATATACATAGTTGCCGACTAGCGGCCGTGTACCGCTGCAACACAGACAGAACCTCTCCTTAAAGTGCTGCACACGATTTTTGCTACTGATGCAACCAGGTCTGTAAAGCATACAGGACACATGGCTCCAGGCACCCATCCAAAACTCGCCGCCTGTGCCTGCGGCTCGAAGATGGAAGTGCGGTCGTCCATGCTTTTAGCTTAGTGGCTCAAGCCTCGACTAGAGAGTTGAAACTGCCCATCTCACTGGCCCTGCTGGCAGGCCTTCAGCGCATCCATGAAGGACTGGCAAGATGCAGCGTTGCTGGAGGACTTCATGCACTGCTCAAGCTGGTCCTGCTGGAACTGGCACGTAGGAGAAGCGGCAGCAACAGGAGCACCCTCATGACGGTGAACCACCTCTGTCTGGCGCGGGCCCATCACTGCATCCACAGCACGGTTTGCCACAGCCATACCCGTGCCCGTTGCCATGCCAGACATCATGGAGCCCATGAGGCCCGACATCATGCCACCGCCAGCTGCGGGAGCAGCTGCCGGAGCAGCCGCTGCAGGTGCTGGGGCTGGAGCATGCTGCGCAGGAGGAGGTGCCTGCGTAGCAGCTGGCGCTGGGGCCGCGCGACCATGGGACGGTGCCGGCGCGGCTCGCTGCGGTGCGCTCGTGGAGGGTCGGCTGCTCTGGCGCGGCATGGCAGATCTGCTTCGCTGAAAATTGAAAGGACCCGGCACAGGAAAAGCTGAAGGAGCAGCCAGCTGCGGTGATACAATACTCTGCCTCCAAGATATCGACTCACTGCCAATCTCGGAATCTCAATTAAAGCTGCAAAACTGATTGTTGCTGCACACGCCAGTTGGCCTGAACTGATGAAGTAGCTGCTTCAACAAGACCTTCGACTTCTGAATAATACAACTATATTCTCAATACCGCATCCGGATGCACCTGGACGTGCTGCCAATGAAGAGGATTCGATCTTGCTCATTGGCCTCTCGTCAAGCAAGGGCTCTGACTCAACCCTTTAACAAGAACAAGTATACAACCCAGATACCGTTACTTATGCCCTCAAATCTTAAACATCCCTAACCTTGACCACCCTTGAACGGTGAGTCCTGTATTTAGATTCATCTTCAACCCTCATTCCACCAGTCTGACAGTTCACTATTACTGGAAATTATGACTAAGATTACGATTGCTATTGCTTGTGCTATCGACTACGATTACGGAAACGATTGCGATTACTACTAGTGCTACCTCAAGTATGTCTACTACGGCTACCAGTAGACTACTGTGACTGCCACTAGTGTTACAGTGCTGTACCTCAAGTATTATTCCTATTGCTATACTCAGCACTGGGCCAACGATGCTACAAAGCCCTGACCATCGCAGCAACAAGAGATCTGGACCCCGAACGGACATATTTCTCACAACGGTCCTCGACCAAAGCCCTAACGCCTCAATGCAAAACTCGCCAAACCCTAAACCCCTAAAGCCCCCAAAACCCTAAACTCTACACCCTAAACCCCTAAAGCCCCCAAAACCCTAAACTCGAAACCCTAAACCCCTAAAGCCCCAAAAACCTTAAACTCTAAACCCTAAAGCCCGAAAAACCCTAAACCCTAAGACCCTGAACCCTAAAGCCCCCAAAACCCTAAACTCTAAACCCTAAAACCCTAAAGCCCCAAAAACCCTAAACCCTAAACTTACCCTGCCTCTAGACCCAAGAGTAGCCTAGGAATAAAAAGGGTGCCCTTTTTGGTTTAAAGGGGCTTATAAGGGAACCTGAACCCCAAAAAGGGAATAAGGGCCTACTCTAGGTCCTAGGCCTCGTCGAATCTTTTCACCTGGTTGATAGCCGCCTGCAGGTCCTGTCGCGGAGAAACTTACTTGGAGGATCATGGGACTGTTCCTTAAGAGGGCTTCTTAAAGGGATCTATAGGGGTTCCTTAAAAGGGATCTATAGGGTTTAGGGTTTAGGGTCTACTTGGAGAATCATGGGACTTAGTAAATAAGGTTATAAGTGCCTTAATTGGGGTTATAAGTATAGTTACCCTAATTATAACCCTACCCAGTAACCTAAGAATAAAAAGGCCTCTCTTTTTGGTATTGGGTAACTTTAAAAGGAACCTAGGACTACAAAAAGGGAATAAGGGTACTACTGGGCATCCTAATTACCTTTCGTTAGCAGGGAATGGAGGATTATAAGTAGGGTTCCTTGAAGGGTGCCTTTAAAGGGATCTATAGGGATTCTATAAGGGTATAGGGTTCATGGGTAGTTATTGTAAGGGTTGACTTACTTTTGGTTAGCAGGGAATGGGGGAATGGGGTACAACTATAACTATTATCACTACCTTCTTCCATTCCCTATTAACCGAAGGTAAGTAAAAGCTGGTCTGATCGGTGACCTCATGCGGGTCGCTCTCTAATTTAGGTCCCTTCTTAGGGTTGCTTAATGGGATCTATAAGGGTGTCTATAATTTCTCTAGGGTTTCTATATAAACACATGTACTAAAGGGTCGTTTGTCCCGTTTTAGGGTCCTTGTTTTAAGGGTGCCGTAGAATTGTTGAGACCTAAGAAAAGACCTTCATTAGGGGACTACCTATATGCGCTCGCGCTGGTGCAAGTGAGTGTGCACAAGTGTACCCCCCCACAGTGGCTATAAGCGGCACTATAGAAGGTGTCGAGATCAACAGTCCCCAAACTTGTTTACACTTAGGGCTCTGTCTATTGAACAAAAAAAGACATGATAAATCATCCCGCAGGAGGCGTCTTGCCAAGGCTGGCACTTCATGTAACAAGCCGTGCAGGTGCGGGATTCCATTGCGAATCCAAAACGCGGAATGCTGGCACGGACGAATCAAACCTCATCTATGAAAGCCTCATAGAACCGCATGAAGGAAGGCCTTATAAAACCTCACAAAAAAACTTATAAAACTTCATGAAAGCCTACACAAGCTGATTAAAAACACAAGCATGACCGTAGGCGCCCTGTGGAAGTCATGGCCTTCTTGATCCGGCTGGGCGCGGTTGCCGAGTCGCCTCCCTTCTTCTTCTTCGTGGCCTCCCAAAGGTGGCGGCTTTTTTGGGGTGGCATACCCAGAGGCTCCATAGCAGTTCCTTTTTGGGGTTCATATTTAGAATCCTATAAGGTCATCCCAAAAAGCAACTACTATGGAGCCTTAGGGTAAGGCAAACTATGAACCCATTTATCCACGGGTGTAGGGTTTAAGGACCCTACCAAGCCCTTATAATCGGCCCTTGTAAGGCTTTTAGCAAGTTATGACTAAAAAGGGCATACTCCATGGTTTATTAGGCTCCTTTCAGGGATCCCTGAGCAACTCTTTGGGCTTCTCTGGGTGGCTTAACGGCGGGGTTTAATCTGCAGTTTTTTTTTTTGTGTCTGCGTGCACGTCAGGAACCTCAGAGTTGAGTTAGGGCTAAAATGTCTAAAGTTTTACTAGACCTAAGAGTAACCTAGGAATAAAAAGGGTGCCCTTTTTGGTTTAAAGGGGGTTATAAGGGAACCTAAACCCTAAAAAAGGGAATAAGGGCCTACTCCGGGTCCTAGTTTACAAATAATTTATATTGCGTCGTGGCAAATGCTTTGTGCAGTGTCTGTTTGTGCTTGCAGAGGCCCCACAGTACTTGGAGTTGAGAGTTTAAGTTTTAGGGAAGTTTAGGCTTTCCAAAAGTATCCTAAACTGGAGGGCTCAAGGCATTTGGGCCGAAAGATCACACCATACAGGACCGTTCGGGCCTGGTTAGCTTTTTCGAAAACCCATAAGGTCGCAACATGAAGCCCTCGGAAGCGACTACGAAGCATGCAGCCCGAAGAGGGCCCAAAGCTTCAGGTCCAACTAACTTGGGCTTGGGGTGTTTCTGTGGCCTCATCATACTGAGGATCCTAAGGGCGCCGGAGCATTCCATTTCGAATTGTTCACATCCCTTTGTGCCTGGAACACCTGCTCCACCTGATCCTGGGCACAAGAGAGAGAGAGAGAGAGAGAGAGAGAGAGAGAGAGAGAGAGAGAGAGAGAGAGAGAGAGAGAGAGAGAATGAGCGTGGATAGGGTTTCGGGGGTTAAGGTTTCGGGTATGAAGGCCTCAGGGTCCAGATTATGTACAACTACAACCCTACATAAACACCTGTTTCTGAGCCGATCCAGGGACTCGACCAAAATCCTGAAGCCTGAGTTTATCCCTCTGCCCTCTCCCGATGACGCACTCTAAACCCAACATGTCCACATTCACCTCAAGAGAGTTCCTCCTCAGCGGTTTCAACCTTGCGTGGACTCCCTTCAAAAAAGAACACCCCAAGGAATGGCATCACTAATTGTTCAGGCTTCCCTCGGTTCAGGGGGTGCTGCTTGGAAGTTTCAGAAAGCCAGGGGCCCCTTCAACAGACTCCAAATTGCAGGATCCTTGGTTTACAAACTCCGTAAGCCCTGATGCCCGAAACCTCTAAACTGGACCCGCGAAATCAGTGGCACTCCGACCACAAACTCTGAATCTGGAACTCCAATGCCAACTCTAAGCCCTGTCCTCGAAGGCCTCAGCATTAGGACCCCTACAGCAAAAAACGCATCAAGCGAGTGGCGAGCACCTACACAACCTCATCCCATCCCTCCAGACCCTAAACCTTCAACCCCAAAGCCTAAACCCTAAACCCGAAACCCTAAACCCAGACCCCACATGGGTCCATGGACCCTCGGACGCGCCAAGGCTCGATGTAAATCACTGATGGAGCCATGTCCTGCCGTGGTGGTCCAGGTTTAAGGTTTGGGGTTCAGGGGTTTAGGGTTTAGGTGGTCCAGGTTTAAGATCTTTAAAGATACGGGTAGTTTGTATTGCTAACATAATCCCAGAGAGCCCAATACCCCTTAATAAAGGAATATGGCTTAAATTATAGAGGGGTTAATATTATGATCTAAGCTATACTAAGTTCCGTACAAAATTAGGGACCCCAAAAAAGGGACGCACCCATACGAAGCAGCAATGCCGGACCCCAAAACCCCAAACTCGATGCCTCTAAGCCCATACAAGGAGCCCCCCAACCTACTTGTCGGGTATCATGGGGAACTAAGGGTTAACCTTTTTGGTTATATAGGGATTATATAGGGGCTATACTAGCCCAAAAAGTTTAAAGCGCGACGTGGAATAAGCTGCGTCCCCAGCCCAAAAATGGTTAAAGGTTACCTACTCTACTACTATAGGCCAAACAGACCCCCACTTTGAAGAACCCCTGCCAACCCCCCCCAGCTTGGGGTGGATGTGTGGGTTTCTCAAACGCGTGGCTGCATGTGGAGTTCAGGTCTGAACAGGACCTGGATTTGGGGTTTAGGGTTTGGGGTTTACGGCTTTACGGTTTGGGGTTAAGGGCCACCAGGATATAGATGGGTTTGAGGTCACCAGGGTATAGATGCCGTCTGTGTTAAACAGGTGGACGACAGAAACAGGGCAGGGGTAAATCGAAGCCCAATCGGGTAACGGGGCAAATCCCTTATCGGTTAAGGCTTAGGGCTTTAGGGTTTTAGGGTTTTAGGGTTTAGGGTTTTTAGGGCTTTAAGGTTTTTAGGGTTTAGGGTTTTTAGGGCTTTCGGGTTTAGGGTTTAGGGGATCTGCTTTACTGTGCGGGCTGCAAACTTGGTCTCAGCCCATGGTTGACGTCTGAGAAGGCAAAGCCGTTACAAACGAAGCCCTGGACCCTAAAGCATGAACCGTAAAACCCAAACTGTGGTCATCATACGACTTCTTTATCCTGCTAACCTAAACCTAAACCGAACTTTTGACAAATTGAACTGATATTGAACTGTTTAATAATAAATTTATAGGGAACTCACTGAGACGGAGCTTCTTCTCGCCAGGGACTCCATACTCATATATATGTATACATGTATATATATATATATATATATTTGTATATATAATCTATGTACATATATTTGTCTAGACTCTAGCCGACTCCAGGCTTCCAAAAGGGCGAAGCTGCAAAACACTACGGCCAACAATACTCACATAGGTGACTGTTTAGCGATACAATCTAATCCCGGCTAGTGCCCATTCTAAACACACTATTAACTATTATTTGTAATATGCCCCCTACCCCGCTCAAACAAAACTCAATCAATCAGGTCCCCTCTAGTACTGACAACTATCTTCGAAGCAAACCGTTGTTCAGCGTCAGCCTAGCTCTACCCCTTTCCTGCCCTTTTCACTTCGACCCCAACCAGGAGCTTACATGAATGCTCTGCGGGTAGTTTATGTTGAGCTGTGATCTATAACCCCCCCTTCTTTGAAGGCCCTAATAGTAGCATCCACGTTGTAAAGGTAGGGGGCTTCATTTATCAGGGGTCTACATCAATACGGACGGGATGGCAAACCCCTAAAGGCTGCTAAACCTTAAACCCAACACATCGGCGTCCTGTGCGCAGATGAAGACCTTGTAGACAAGGAGAGCAGACCCGGCTTTGCCCTGCGTGCTCTTTCCTCGCAAGGACTCATGTACACCCAGGGGCTCCAAGGGCTCCAAGGGTTTAGGGGTTTAGGGTTTAGGGGTTTAGCGTTTAGTGGGATTCTACAAGGGTTCCTTCAAGGGTCCTTTTAAAGGGATCTATAGGGATTAAATACAGCATTCTATAAGGGTATGGGGATTAGGGTACCTCTGTAGCATATATGCTTAGGCCTTGAAGGGGGTTCCTCTGTAGGACAGTTTTAGGCCTAAGTATATCCTATAAAGGTACAGGGAGTTGGAATCATTGGTAACGTTACTCCTTGGGTTCCCTATGAGTATGGCCTCACTCATTAGACCAAGCGTGGGGGGCGTTTAGCGCTTCTGGCTTCGGGATTCTCGCTTTGAGGGGCTTGTGCGACAAGTTCTTTCTGAAAGCGCCACCTCAGTGGTGGGCTTTGTGAGATCAACCCGACCTACTATGGTCCCAGACCCCGAGACAGGCCTAAGTCCAACAAACCTTGCTTGCCCACCAAATCCTAAAACCTAGATCCTAATTCCTAAACGCTACGGGCCCTACACCTCAAACATGCCTGAACCCTAATGTAGGAACCTTTTTAAGAAACCCTGTGCCTATTACCCCAAAACAGTAGGATTCTTAATCAGGTTCTTACATTATGCCCTACCAAGCCAGAATAACCTACCTTTTTAAGGACTTATATAAGGAAATCATAATAAGGAATCCTAAAGTTATTCCGGCTTAAGGTACACTCTAAATCCTAAACTCTGTCCTAAACCGACCTGCAGGCCAGAACTTCTAAATCCCTCCAACGACACTTGACGGCCCAAGAGACGAGGATTTCTAAGTGGTAGCGGGGTTTTGCAACAGCATTACTAGGATACCCAGTAACCTAAAAATAAAAAGGCCTCTCTTTTTGGTATTGCGTAACTTTATAAGGAACCTAGGACCACAAAAAGGGAATAAGGGTACTACTGGGCATCCTAGGTTACTATGACTCTGCGAGCCCTAGCGCCTACTTCTAGTGTACATGGGCCTTCTGAGAAGTTGAGTGCCCAAAACACGGATGCCTGCTATATGACCTTGCAGGTTTCTACAGGGTCGCTCCTTCCCTAAACCCCAAACCCTAAATGCTAACCCTGCAAGCCCTAAGCCTCAAACATTAAGGCCCGAAGCCCTACACCCTAAAAGCCCCAAACCCTAATTACACCCTAATTAAACGCCTAAACCCTACACCCTAAAAGCCTCAAACCCGAAACCCTGAAAGTCCTAACCCCCTAAACCCTAAGCCCTAAACCCTAAACCCCAAACCCTAAAACCCTAAAACACTAAACCCTAAACCCTAAAACCCTAAACCCTAAGCCCTAAACCCTGAAAGCCCTGAACGCCCCAACAAAGAACCCTATAGATCCCTTATAAACCCCTTATAGAACCCTTTAAAACCCTAATTATAGATCCCTTATCAACCCCTTCTAGAACCCTTTAAAAGGAACAATGAAGGCGCCCCAAACCTAGAAACTGCTCGGCCTTCGATCACTGCGGGGGAGAGATCAAAGAAGGTCGCCCCTGCGTGGGAAGCGAGGCATTCTGCGGAGGCCTTATTTAGTAGAGGGTTCCTTTAGAAAGGTTCCTTTAAAGGAGTATGATTAGTAGAGGGTTCTTTTAAAAGGGTTCCTTTAAGGAGTATGGTGAGTATAGGGTTCTTTTTAAAAGGGTTCCTTTAAGGAGTATGATGAGTATAGGGTTCTTTTTAAAAGGGTTCCTTTAAGGAGTATGGTGAGTATAGGGCTCTTTTCAAAAGGGTTCTTTAAGGAGTATGATTAGTACGGTATAATGAGGATTCTTCTTATATAAAGGGTGAGGATCCTTCTCATATCAAGGGTTCCTGTAGAGGGACGATAAGGGAAGAGTATCGCTATGTAATCCCACGTTCATTTCCGTTGGACCCGGAAACCCTAAGCCCTGTACCCTGAAACAAGAACCACAAAACACAAACCTCTCTTCTTCAACAACCGGGCCCCAAAAAGTTCAAACTTTTTAAGATAGAGCTACTATATAAGGCCAAAAAGTTTAAAGTTCCCCCCGTTCACTATCTAAAAAACAACAAACAAACCCAAAACCTTGGACCCTTGACCAACAAATGCCCTGAAATCTTCGGAGCGTCCCGAAGCCAAAAGACTTGGACTCTACTTGGAGGTTCATGGGACTTGGTAATTACAGCTACAAGGGATAACTTAACAGGGGCCAAAACGAACTGTCATGAGAATAGCATTGCTCAGAATTCCGAGCCCTCGATTTAAAATTCGAAGTATTACCCAAAGCGTCCATCTGCTCGAATAGTACAGATCCTTGCCCTGAAGATACTCCGGATTATAGGAACCCTTGTTAAGCATATACCATATGGGTACAGCTAGGGCCCCCTTTGCGTTCCCATACTAGGGTGCAGTAAAAGGAATAGAATTATGCCTATAGTCTCCATTGTAGTTCCTGTTTTGGTTAACCAAAATCTCTATGATAGGATCCTAACTACAAAACTGGATAACCAAAAAATTGAACTACAATGGAGACTATAGTGGGGGTTTCTCAAGGCGGTCATGATTTTGGCAGGTACACGTATCGGCACATTGCAGCTTAGGTTTACGTAAATTGAGCCCCCGCGTAAGGCAGAGTCTTGAAGGTCTTTTGGCTTAGGGTGCAGCTAACAGGAGTTTAGAGTTCAGGCGTTCAGGATTTTACAGCAAGCATAGGTTCGGTCCTCTAGTCTCAGAAGTTGAGAAATCGAGCCAGTTGATGGCTGGTTAATGTGTTTAAGGTTGCACTTCAGCCGTACCCCCCGTAGAACCATAATACAATATAATATTATTCTCTTGGGTTTTCTATGAACAAAAGTAAACTGCTAGAATACCCAGTAACCTAAGAATAAAAAGGCCTCTCTTTCTGGTATTGGGTAACTTTATAAGGAACCTTGAATAAGGGTACTACTGGGCATCCTAGATGAGCAACAAGATCAAGTTTTGTTCGCGCCATTTCCTGCGAGCATCTGCTGCCATCAAGGCAATGCATATGGCCACCTGCCGAAAATCGGCTCCCCGTATCCGCCCTCCCCATGACAAAGCATCGAAGCTTGAATTTGGGGCCCGAAGTTCTTCAGAAGAGAACCTGCATGCTGCCCATGCAAATGAACAAAAAACAAAAGATCCGCCAAGCATCAAACTCGCAAAACAGCAGTGAAACCAAAGCCAAGCTAAACACTGAAACCCCAAAGCCGAACCCATTCCACACCCTGAAGCCCTAAACCCCCGTAGCTCTCCTTTATACAATCAAGCCCCAATCCGTACCACTATGGGCTATTAGACCTTATGGGTACCTTAATCTACCCTTAATAGGGTCCTAATAGGGATCTTTAGGGTCTAATAGCCCATAGTGGTATGTTGGTTCTCGAGGCCCCGGTATGAGATCCTAAGCCCATCCCCTAGATCCCAATCCAAGAGCCCTAGACCCTAAACCAAAAACCTAAAAACCCTAAACTACCCCAAACCCTGAGCCCTAAACCAAAAACCCTGAAAACTAAACCAAGAACCCCAAACCTAAGAGTCAACCAAAGTAAACCCTCAGCCCCAAACCCTAAACCCCATGACCCTAAACAAAAACCCTAAACCCCAAACCACAACCCCAAGACTCTAAGTCCTAAACCCTAGACCCCAAAACCCAAAACCCCAAAGCCCAAAACCCTGGACCCTAAACCAGAAGATCTGTCAGTTAAAGCCTAGCGTTTCAGAGCCAGAGATCAGGTAGCCATCGTCATTGCGCTGTTCCGACTCCGAGAGCGCGTGCTTCGAGATCGGGAGAGTTACAGAGTCTTCCTAGACCTACTAAAGCCTTCCTTTTTGTAGGTTCCTTTCCTAAACCCTAATATGGGATTTGTAGGGCCCCTACACAAAAGTAGGTTCTGGTAGGTTAGGGTTAGGGTTATGAGTTCAGGGATGAGGGTGTAGGGATTTAGGGTCTTCGGGGATGTAAGGTAGTTGTAGGTATCTTAGAGGTGTTTTGGTTTGAAGGGGGGGGGGGTAGGGTTTAGGGTTTAGTATTCAAAGAGATGAGGGTTTTGAAGGTTTGAGGCTTTAAAGGATATTGATTGGGGTTTCAGGGTTTGGGGTGTTGGCGCTGAGAGTTTTAGGACGGCGTTGGAGCTTGGAATGAGGGGCTCTGAAGAAACCTATAAGGCCCCCTGTATCAACTCTTCAGAAAACCATTCAAAGAGACTCCTGTAAAGCCCTTTTTTAGACCCTATATAAGACCTTTCATACATCCCGGAACTGACATGAACCCCTGTATATGACCTTACATGCAACACTCCATCCTGATCAGAGCCTGGACTAGGTTACCCAGTAACCTAAGAATAAAAAGGCCTCTCTTTTTGGTATTGGGTAACTTTATAAGGAACCTAGGACTACAAAAAGGGAATAAGGGTACTACTGGGCATCCTAGTGGACAGTTTCCTTCAACAAAGCCACTAGGAACTCCTACCGCAATATCTGTTCCAAACAAGCGGGCTTGCTAGTTCAGGGTTTGGGGTTCGGGAGTGGATGGTTTAGGGATTCTGAGACCTTAATCCGCGTGATGAGCTTTTCGAAAAGCACGGCTTCTCAGTACTTCGGAGGGTGCATGCGCACCAGAAACTATGAAAATTCATGAGCTTGTGCTGGAACATCGAAAAGTCAGCCGAGTCGTTCTGTCTTTCTCTCCTTCTTGCGGTTAGGGCTTAGGTTCGGGAGGCATGGAATCAAGTGACTCAGTGGTGAAGGCTTTGCTGGAGGGGGTTTCGGGCTTTGAGATCAACAGCCGGTGGGGGGGGGGTGAGGCGGAAGAACAAATCTTCAGGTCAATAGGGCGTAAAGGCAAGAATGTCCAGCACAAGGCTAGTGGCCAAATATATCCGGCACTGCTGCACCTGACTTTACCCCAGCTGGCACACATGTGAAGCGAGAAAGTATCGAAATGCATTCTCAGTGGGTCACATTTCCCCAAACTTCGTCATACGTGTTCATAAGTCTAAACTTACCAAGACTCGCTGTCGCAACTTAGGTGTTCATGATTTCTGGGCACCTGCTTTCTTGAGGCTTCATTTGCCCTGTTGAAGGCCAGCCACAAGGACTTCTCTAAGTTTCTCCTGCCCAGCACAGGAGCAGGGAGAACCCGTCTGGGCTGCGAGTGTTTAGGTTTCAAGGTTGCTGGAATTGATACAAGACAGCCCAAACCCCAAACGTTAAACCCTGTACATCCAAAACCCATAAGATCCTAAATCACAAGCACATAACACCCAACCCTAGACCCTGCACCCATAAGACCTGAAACTCTGAACCCGTACGCACTGAAGCCCTAAACCCATCATAAGACCCTGAACTTGAACCCCAAACATACGAGACCCTGAACACCTTAAACCCCTGAAGACCCTAAACCCCAAAGCCCCCGGTTTAGGCTTTAGGGTTCAGGGTTTAGGCTCCTTCAGATCCATGAGCCCCACCAGCCTGAATTATACTCGAATTGTTGCGGCCGCTACACTATATGGGTGGTTTTCAAAATTAGGGTCCCTTTGCCTCTTTTTGGGTACCCTAATAATAGGTGCCGTACTATATTAGGGACCCAAAAAGGGACCATAATTTGACAACCACCCATATCAATCCTTATTATAGCCCTTTTAGTAGACCTTGTAGACCCCTCCAAAGGAACCCTATTCTAATTCTGATGGGAGTTAGGATTAGGGGGACCCTCGGGGATATAGACCCTCTCAATAAGGTCCCTTTTAAAAGAGCCAGAAGTAGGGTTCGGAAGGGGTACCCTTTAAGGGGTCTCCCTCATCATGCTTCTAATTCTGAAGGCCCCTAGATTTCCTTAGCCCCGAACCCTAGATCCCCACACCCCTGCAGGCGAAAAAAGCAAATCCTAGAACGATTAACTACTATTTGCTTAAGAAACCCACAAAAATAAAAAAATAATAATCCCTATATTACACCCATAAGGGATATATTTTTTTTATTTTTGGGGGGTTCTTAAGCAAATAGTAGTTAACCCTTACAGAGAGTGTGATATAGGATTTGTGTATTATAGACTAGGATACCCAGTAACCTAAGAATAAAAAGGCCTCTCTTTTTCGTATTGGGTAACTTTATAAGGAACCTAGGACTAACAAAAAGGGAATAAGGGTACTACTGGGCATCCTAGATTATATAAGCCCCTGGAAGCTATTCACACAGACCTCATACATCGCCCCAGTCGCTCGGCCAGCATTTGGGAATGGTAGTGCACGTGCAAACGGTGCACCGAAGATACCTTGCTTTCGGAGTGCGGGGATCAGGCTTTGGGTTCAAGAGTTTAGGGTTTACATGGGTGGTTGTCAAAATTATGGTCCCTTTTTGGGTGCCCTAAATATTCGGTGCCGTATTATAATAAGGATCCAAAAGGGGACCCTAATATTGACAACCACCCACATAGGAGTTTAGGGTTTAAGTTTTAGGGTTTGGAGTTTAGCGCTTAGGGCTGAGGTTTTGGGGTTGGGATTTAGCGTTGCCGAGAGGTCTACTCAAAGAGTCTTGCATGGCTTCTTATAGGCCCGTTGGCAGACGCTTCGGGAATTCGGTGCTTCCCGACTGTAAGCACAACAGTGTACGGCCTGTGATTGCCTCATGTACGTGCATTCGTCTGTGTACATTTTTTTACACGAATCGTAATCAGCATGTTGCATATGTAGAAATGCGCTTTATGTTACGCTCAGTTCCAAGCACCAAACATAACGCAAGTTACGAAGTGAATGTGAACAAAACTCTGTAGACGGTACACAAACGCTAGCACTGATACAACCGAGGCAACCGCAATTTGCAAAAAAAACCTTGGCTGTGATTGGTCCTTGCTGACTGATGTACGTATTGGAGTTACATGTTCGGATCAAATTGACCGAGCGATATGTTCCTGCAATAAATACAGTTTTTTAGGGTTAGGGGCAGGACGTTTCTGTGCTGGGAAAGCTCAAGCTAAGGTCCTTTAGCCGGGAGCTTCAGTCTTTGCAATTTAGGGCCGGGATGTGAAAAGTTTCGGGTTTGGGGCGAGACAAGGCCTTTGCTTAGAGGGAGGGCTCAGGTTCGGATGCAATGTGGCGATGCTGACCTACATGTCTGTAAATACCAGAACGCACGACTTGCGGACAGAAGCATGACCATGGTACATGACCCGCACCCGTGGTTGGCGCAATTGGGACACAGGAGGAGTAAAATCGACGGGCAGTGTAGACAGACAATGGCAAATTGCCAATGTCAAGACTTGTCCGGGACTGCCGTTATGCATCTTCCCCCGATGCCACATGTTCGGAAAACTAGGCTCCAGTCTACGCATATCCATCTCAGCAATTGGTTTTGGCGGACTCTTACGAGATCTTGGATGTGCCGCCTCCAAAATACTAAACCCTAAACCCCAAAACTTTACCCTTTAGCCCTCGAACCCCTGAATGCTGAACCCGTAAACCCGAAATGCTAAACCCTAAACAACCAACCCCTACCCTATGTCTGTAAACCCGAGTTTCTTAAATCAGCCCTCACAGAAAGGTCCAAAGTACCTACATTGTGGGTGGTTCTCAAACTTATGGTACCTTTTGGGGTCCCTAGTTTGATACGGCACCTAGTATTTAGGGTACCCAAAAAGGGACCATAGATTTGACAACCACCCGTATGGGGAATACTGACCCAAACCACAGCTTGAAAGGCCGGTGAAGAGGAGTCCCCGCAGGGGCAGTGCCAACTAGACCAAATACTCCCAAAACCCCATACTCTAGAGGTTGAGGGCTTATGGGGTTTAGGGGTTTAGGGGTTTCGGGGTTTAGGGTTTAGGGGCTTAGGGGCTTAGGGGTTTAGGGGTTTAGAGTAAATCTCCCCCAAATCCGCACTACGCCCAGCTGTGACAAGGAGCAGGTTGGCAGCAGGATCCTCCGTAGGCATGGACTGCCCTGGACAGAACTAGGATACCCAGTAACCTAGGGTTTAGGGTTTAGGGTCTACTTGGAGGATCATGGGACTTAGTAAATAAGGTTATAAGTGCCTTAATTGGGGTTATAAGTATAGTTACCCTAATTACAACCCTACCCAGTAACCTAAGAATAAAAAGGCATCTCTTTTTGGTATTGGGTAACTTTATAAGGAACCTAGGACTACAAAAAGGGAATAAGTGTACTACTACTGGAGATCCTAGAACTACCTATTTGGAGGGTCGGGTGACATAGTAACTGGCGATTTTAGGGACTTATAAGTACCATAACCCCAAATTAGGGTCCCTTTTAGGGTACTTATAAGTCTACTTACTACCTACCTACTAAGTCCCCCGACCCTCCAAGTATAGTCTCCATTTTAGTTCCTTTTTTTGTTAACCAAAATCTCCATTATAGGATCCTAACTATAAACTTGGTTAACCAAAAAACGGAACTACCATGGAGACTATAGGTAGGTTTCGGCTTTGGGTTAAGGGTGTATTTAAGGCTTAAGAGCTAGGGGTTAGGGCTTAATGCTTAACTTAGGGGCGTATTTACGGCTTAAGAGCTAGGGGTTAGGGTTTAGGAGTTAGGGGTCCGGGGTTAGGATTTACGGCTTTAGGGGTTTAATCCCTTTGCCCTCCACCGTCTCAATTTAAGGGATTATAATCGTGGGCTTGGCAGACTGCGCTGCAGGTTTGGGCACAAAACCACGGACTAACCTGTGTCCTGAGGCCTGAACCATACCTTGACTAGGATGCCCAGTAACCTAGGAATAACAAGGTCTCCTTTTTTCTGGTATTGGCAAACTTGAAAAAAAGGAACCTAGGACTACAAAAAAGGGAATAAAGATACTACTGGGCATCCTAGTTGAGCTACTGGAACCTACTTTTCTGTAGGGCCCCAATAATTTGTACATCAGGCAGGGTTTGGGGTTCATAGTACGAAACTACAAAAAGTAGGTTATGGTAGTTTAAGGTAGACCATATTATCGATTCCAAACCGCTAAGCTCAAATGCCAAACCCGGCAAGCCCCGTTTCAGCTTTAAGGGCCCTATGAGGGTCTCGGGGCTTCGGTTTCAGGACCCTATCCAAATCTAGACCTCGAGACGCTCATAAAGCCCGTGTAGAATCTGCTAGACCCCAAACCCCTCAAAGTAACCCTTGAAGCAACCCTAAAGGTCACCCTTGAAGGACCTCACAGAAGGAACCCACGAAAAGAAGGCCCTAACACTCTAAGCCTAAACCCTAAACCCTGAACCCTCAACCCTAAAGCCCTAACCCCCTAAACCCTGAACCAAAACCCTGAACCCTAAAACCCTAACCCCCTAAACCCCAAACCCTGAACCCTAAACCCTAAAACCCTAAGCCCCTAACGCTGGCCTTACATCGTCTCCTCGATGAGTCCCTGGCCGATGGTGCGGCCGCCCTGCAAGGACGGCTGCTTTTCTGGGTGTTTCAACAGGTTCCATAGGGCTTCATAGGATTTCTATTCAGGCTTTAGACGCTTTCTATGTAGGGTTTACAGGGTTTCATAGGATTTCTGTTACGTAATGGCTTTCTAAGCTTTCTATGTAGGGTTTACAGGGAATTTAAAATGGCCTGGGGCTCCAGATAGTTACGTAGTAGGTTACTAACCATATGCCATATGCCATACTGCTGCTTCATTGTAAAAGTTCGGGTTTAGGGTTTATAGGGGTTAGGGGTTGACTTAAAAGTTGAAGAAAATAATAAGGAGTTAATAAGGAAGCCTAAACAGGCAGGTTATTTGGGGACCAGATGCCCTGCAAGCACGACCGGGCCTCTCGCATGGCGAAGCGCATGCCCTTCTCGATGGGCGTGCCGGCGATCAGCTCACAGGTGCAGGTGATGTTGTCACCAGGCATGGCCATCTGCACCTCGTTGCCGTCAGAGCTCACCATGCCCTCGATCTTGCCGGTCACGTCGCAGGTTCGGAAGTAGAACACGGGCATGTAGCCGGGCATCACCGGGTTGGATCGGCCGCCCTCGTCCTTCTTGGCGAAGTAGATGTTGGCCTTGAACTTGGTGTGGGTCTTGGTGGCACCTGGGGCGCAGATCACCTGGCCACGGAACACAGCATCCTTGTCGATACCACGGCACAGCACGCCGACCGTGTAGCCTGCCGGGCCCTCAGGGAGGTCGGTGTTGAACATGCGGATTCCGGTGATGACGGACTTCTGGGGCTTCTTGCCGCGGCCCAGGATCTCGACCTCATCGCCCTTCTTGACGATGCCCTGCTCGACGCGGCCCGTGCACACCGTGCCTCGGCCCGAGATGGAGAACACGTCCTCGACGGCCAGCAGGAAGGGCTTGTCCGTCTCGCGCTCCGGGGTGGGGATGTACTCGTCCACGGTCTCCATGAGCTCAAGGATCTTGTCCACCCACTTGTCATCACCTGAGTGAGCACTGCGAAACAACAACCTTGCTGTGATGTAAAGCCGCACAAGCATAATTAATCACTTACGAGTACATATAGCTTGTGCTTACTTAAACCTGCCCTGATGCCCTAGACCTGTAATGCCTTGCACAACTCAGTGCAAACTTGATGGTGTCTCAAAACACCTTGTATTGGAATTAATGCCTTCTGAGGAAACTCTATAAGGAACCCAAAATACTATTTGTAATTACTAGGCTGTAGTACGTGTTTTGTATTGCTAGCTGCTGGGTTGGGGTTCCAAGCAGTTTAATCATAATCTACTTCAACAAGCACGAACTCACTGACTCTCACTGAACCCGTCCCGAAATCAACACCAATGAAACCATCCCACTCGAACGCCGAAATCAACTACAGCCCTGCGAAGCAGAAACTCTATGCAGCATAACCTGTCAAGCTAAGTAACCCCGTACATACCCATAGGCTCCATAGTAGTTCCTTTTTGGGATTTCCTTATAGGGTTTTACATATGAACCTCAAAAGGAACTACTATGGAGCGTGTGGGTAAAGCCACGTCTCCTAAAAGCCTAAAACCCGCATAGAACCCTTCTTGAAACCTTACAGATGCCTGCAGCCCTAGAGCCCTTATTAATCCTAAACCCTAAACCCCTAAACCCTAAACCCCTAAACTTATAATTAACACTGAATCCTAAGACCAGCAAACCCGAAACCCCAAGCTGAAGACGCTGCGTGCCCCAAAAATGCACCTGCACTCCAGAGAGCCCAATACCCCTTAATTAAGGAATATGGCTAAAATCATAATATGAAGCCCTATATAATTTAAGCCATATACCTTAATTAAGGGGTATTGGGCTCTCTGGGACTCTCTCCGCACGGGGGCCGCTCCTTTGCTCAAATCCCACTAACAAAATCCTGAAAGAGCCCTTGAAAGGGCCCTTGCTGTAGGTCCAAACAAAACCTGAACAAGCACAGGGGCCCTGGCTATAGAAATCTATACGACCCTCTAAACGCTAAAGCCTTCATGGAACACCTCAGAACCCCCTTCAAGCATTACCCTAACACCCTAAATCCCCTGTAAACATATCCCTGATCTTTGAGCACAGGGTCCCTTCTTGGTGCTGGGATCCTTCTTCATCTGCTCGAGAGCTTGCAGCGCACTTCCTGGCGAAACGGGAATTTCGAGGGTTCATCGCTTTAGGCTTGAAGCTGTATTTGGTTTCAGGGTTTAGGGCCTGTTTAGTGGTTAGGGGTTTTACGGTTCAGGGCTTAAGGCTTTAGGGTGTAGGATTTTCTCGCTTTCATGGGCTACTTATAGTGACAAGCGACTTCCAAGCCCTAGACCCCGCTTACCTCTGAACCCGAAACCCTAAATGCTTGAACCCTACACCCCGAAACCCTGAATTTAGGAAATTTGGAGCCCCAAACCCCCCAATCCCCACACCCTAAATCCCCCAGCCCTCAATTTCGGAACTTTTGAACCCTAACTCCCAAATCCCTACACCCTGAATCCCTAAAAACCTAAATTTCGGAAAATAGGGTTCAGGCTCGGGAATGCAGGGCCTTGGATGAAGGGCGTGTCATCGCCAGGGAAGCCGTACTGGCTCAGCCTCAGCTTTCCGTGATGTACCCCAAACCATGGTTCACCACCGTTGATGATATAAATCTATAAGGGTACCTTTAATAAGGTTCTTGTAAGGGATCTATAGTGTTTTAGGGTTTAGGGTTGATGATATGAATCCTGCATTATCCATAATAAGGAATATACCATAGTTCCCATAGTTTAGGGTCCTTAAGGTAATGCAGGATTTGTATAATGAACCGCAGGACCCTTCAAGGGCCCTTGAATAGAGTCCTTTATGGCCGTTGATTGTGGGTATTTTGGGGTAATACTTGGGGGGTCCGGCGTGGTCGAGCGTTTGCCCTGTTGTGACCGAAGTTAAGATAGGTAGGGGTTAGGCTAGGTAGCATTTGAGGGTTAGGTTAGGCTGCTTAGGTTTAGGGCTTAGTACGGTGTAGGGTTACTACACCCTTGTCCTTTTAGAAATAATAGACAGAGCCCTATATACCTATATCCCTTAGTAGGAATTATTTAAGAAGGTCCACTAGCCGGTCTGTTTTATTCTTTCGGGGGACCATGAAAAAGGACAAGGCTGGTAGGGTTCCAGTGCTTCAAGGCTTTGGGGGATCAGGGTTCGGGGTTTAGCATTTAGATCTAATTTTAAATTTTAAAGTTCATGATTCTTGCTTTCGGGTTTAGGGTACGGTGGCACTTAAATGGATCCCTTGATCCTGGCACAGGGAAGCAACCTAAACGTGAAACATCGCTGGCTTTCATAGCCTTCATGGACTTTGTTGCCAAGCGGCTCCTCGACAAGCAGCGCACGTTAATACACCTCATGGCCCGACCCCAGTGACCCGCAAGAACCGTCGGCGAACGAAACTTGGGTCTGCAGCCTTGCGATCTCAGGTGCACGTGCACGCCTCCCAAGCGATACCGCTCGTAGAGCCCGAAAGCACCACAAGTCAAGCCGCTGTCGAAGAGGATCTCACCCAGCGAGGAACTCAGCCGGCAGCCCATGTGCATCTCCTTTTCCCCATCCCGCCACACCCAAACAGACGCAGTCATACTACCCGGGGGCCTGTTTGGAGCCGGGGATATTATATGTGCTCTGAGTAGGGCGTGAGGGTTGATTTAAGCACCCTCCGTCTCAAGCCTTACCCTTAACACATCGAGCCCTGCAAACTCAAATACAGACACCCCAAACAAAGGGCCCCATACCCTAAATCCTAAACCTTCTATACCCCGGTCATACATCCTGAACCCCAAAGGCTATCCTAAACCTCCCACCCGACCCTCATAAGGAATCTCTAGACCCCAACTTCTCCATAACCCAAGATCCTAAAGTCCATAGAACGGTTTAGGGTTTAGGGGTTTAGGGTTTAGTCCCGGCAACCCAACCAACTCGTACCAGTCGATGTTCGATTCTAAAACCTCCCCTGAACCCTAAATCTTACATGCTAAACACCCCGCCCACAAACCCCAAAGCCTAAGCACCTGAAACCCCTAACCCACTACTTCCCTAAATCCGACGAACCCGACAACCTAAACTCCCCAAATCGTAGAAAACCCCACAAGCCCTATATCCTAAGCCTCAAAGCCCAATAACAAGACATCATAAACACCAAAGTCCCAAAATAACTTACATCCTAAACCTTACCCTGGCCATCCTAAGTGTGCTTATGACGCATACTTCTGTGGAAGTTATGTTTTTTTAAGCACTTGGGGTCTGTAGAGCTCCGAGTGCCTGATTTCAGAACACTTACGAATTCCATGATTTTCATGGTTATATAGCTTGTCTTTCTATGGATTTCCCTTCGGGTGGGTTGTTCTGAATACAACTAGATGCTGAGCTAAAATAAGGACATGTTTGTGCATCACACGGATTTCGGCCCGAAATCATAGCAGACCCGGGCCCTATCTTCCTGTCGGGACCTCAATGTTAGCAAATAACAATGAAACCCCTGATATATTTCGCATGCGGCATGCCCGCGCGGCCGACAAAGGACTGAAACACTAATCGAAAGCAAGGAATGGCTTCTTTTTAGCTCCCACGCTTCACATGCTTGTACCGCAAAAGCAATCTCGACAGCACTCGCAGCTCAAGAAGATTGCGATGACACATACGAGCTATTCGTTTCACAGCCCCCATGTTGTCCTCATCAAGGAATGCATGAAAGTAGCGGCAGTTGTAAAGTTCAGCCTTCATGCAAAGATTCAAATCCCTCCAGGCGTGTAGTTTAGGGATGAGCTTCCATCGAACTTTGCCGTCAACATAAGCAAGAATGGCCAGGCGTTTATACTGCCTCACGAATCGAAGGCTTGTCTCTTCAAGGAATCCCGCCTCTGAAGCCGTAAGATAGCGAGGTGCACGCTCCAAGCGATCATGCCAAACACTCATGAGCTGAGCCACAGATGAAGCAAGCTGCACCTCGACATCATCACAGCTGGCGGCCAGGGTTGCCATGCAAACTGCCAGGAAAGCCAGCAGAACTCTGTTGTTGTACGCTTTCCCCAGCAATTCAGGATAACCACGTTTGTCCCTGCGATGCATGCCCTTGGTGATATAAACTTGGCTGTGCTCGATCTGGTTGGCACTGGCCCAGCGTCGCATCCTAGTTGTTAACTCCTTTAGCTGCTCTTCCTTGCTCGTGCCGAAAAATGACCTCTCACAGAGGAGGTCTACCAAACTCCCATTCAATATAATCAATATGCCAATGTTGCTGCAATGCATAGAGCAGTAGCGTATCATCTTCACATCCCAGCCAGCTATGGCACACATCGGGTTGACAGTCGCCATGAAATTGTTGATCAAGTCTGTACTGGTGCGCTCGGGATGGACCGTCTCGAAATTCGACCACCTGTACATGTTCAGTGGTATTACGTAATCCTGAGTTGAGCGCATGTAGTATATGATATTATTTTTTTTACATATGCTTCTTCGTAGTGTTATTAATAATAACATTATTATTATTAGTATTATTATTAAATCATCATTTGTAATATTATCAAATTAGACGAGTCGAAAGCCAATCTTATGCGGCTGGTTACGTCTTAGCAGGCAGATCGTCATTCATTAACAATATATTTAAATATATTTTACTATAAATATAGGTACATCTATTATTCTTTTATTGTATATGGGTTTAATAATAATAAATTATTCATAATATATATATATATATATACATATATATATGTATTACTACACATCATACATAGTATCACAAGAAAAAAGTTACTATTAATCAGCCAGCAGTTGCCTTGCAGGGCCATTGAGCTCAGCCGTACAAAGATGGCAAACCGACTTGGCACCCCACCAGCATGTGAGGCTCCAAACCTGTTTGTGCCACTTCCAGTCGCCCCGAAACTCGGTGATGCTGTGAGCACCACCTTCAATATAATTTGTACGTGGTACCATAGACAAAAATCTCTATCTATCTATCTATATATATATATATATTGATCTACCACATGCGAGGTACATTCCACATTTTCATAATAATAATAACAATAATTATAAAGGTACTGATAAGACTCATTTTAACAATAATAATAATAATAATAATCACTGAATTGCATCGACACACCTGCAATGGGACGGCCGGCTTTCGCACCCAAACGTGCCGGCAGAGGATTGTTCTGGTAGTCGAGAGCCGGGTGAATGCCACCCAGCAGTATCTGAGGCAAGGCAGGCCAACAGTATACTAAATCGATCTACAGACATGCATTACGATACCCCCTGGGTATATCTACAACAGTTTGAATGTTTAATCATTGCTAGGCATGTTGAGAGTTAAATACAGTATCGTATATTTTCGGTACGGAAAGAACTGGAAATTATTACATCCGGGCACATTGTGGTACTATCTCAGAACAACAGTATATAAATTGCAGGCAAGACTCGTTGCACGACCAGGCTGTGATTTTGTACACTTCATGAAGTGAGGCTGGGCCCAGGCTCAGATACTCGCGCAAAACGAAGAAAGTAAAGCGGGTGAGGTCACAATCAAGCCCACCACTGCCGGCTCCACGTGTGCCTGCACCATCTGCATCGGAGCATATAGGCCAGGTACAGTAATATTGTTAAGTAATAAGAATAGTACTAATAATATAATCTATATATATATATATATACTCACCGTATATTCACAGGAATTTCATAAATATGATATAGCTGAATCGAGCATTTCAATATATATATATATATATATATATCTGTATATATATATATATATATGTAGCTGTATATATATAGCTATATCTTGCTCAATCTGCTTAGTATAAAGTATATATATTCTCTCTGTCTATATATATATATATATATACACACATAAAAACATATATATATATATATATATATATATATATATGTATAGATATTTATTTTATTGTTATTATATATATATATATATATGTATATACATGTATGCATACAGGCTCGCATAGACATATGTAAAATAATTAGATATTATGGTAATATTCCGCTCCTCCATGGCAGCGGTCTTGGATCACAGAGTTCAGGTGCAGCACTATGAGCTTGTCCCCCGCTTCTGTAAATTGGCAGTCGTCGCCAAATAGGCCGATTGGATTACAGAACTTTCCTGGGTGGTTTTTTGCCCAGGCAGCATCCACATCATGGAAGTGCTGCCAGTACCTTTGCACAGCTCGAGGATCCAGAACAAGGAGGCCGCTGGCCTCGCACACAGAGGGAGGACATGTATGGGGTGAGGCTAGTGGTGCTGAAAGTTGTGTGTTTATATAGATATGTATGTGTATGTGGGTATGTCATAATAACAATATATGTATATGTATGTGTGTTGACAAGCATCGAATCTGCCAGGTTGAACTGTACATATTACTATATAAATATAACCAATGCAATTTGTAGCTGCCATGGAACATATAGGTAATCCACGAGCTGGTGGGGAAGTATCATCGGCACAGACATCGTTGTTCGGCTTTTGCGGTCTGCCGGGTCTTTGATCGGAATCTCGACGGTGTAGAGGTCCTGATGCAACATGCGTCTTATTATTAGTGTTCTATGTA